ATCGTTCTTATGTTCTTAATGCACAACACAAAAGGTACAAAGCATTTTTGCCTAAAGCAAATTCAAAGCAAGGTTGGATGGTTGCTCCGTTGGTGAAATGTTTGAGGATTGTGACAGAAGCCCAAAGGGGAATGACTGGAGAATGGGTGACTACAGTGGTACCTTGGGTTAAGTACTTAATTCGTTCCGGAGGTCCATTCTTAACCTGAAACTGTTCTTAACCTGAAGCACCACTTTAGTTAATGGGGCCTCCTGCTGCTGCCGTGCTACCAGTGCACGATTTCTGTTCTCATCCTGAAGCAAAGTTCTTAACCTGAAGCACTATTTCTGGGTTAGCGGAGTCTGTAACCTGAAGCGTACATAACCCGAGGTACCACTGTATCTTTATCTAAAATCTGAAAATGGATCTGAGATGAGGTGTTTCTTCCCTCTTTCTGTGCTTGCTCTCAGGGCCACGGCTAGGGGCCAGAGCAAATGTCTTGCAGTGTCCTTGATGCTTCACGCAGGATGCAAGGTGCCACCCCACAGCGACATTAAACTGCCACGGCTGAGAGCGCAAGTGTGTCTACTATGATGTGTCCGTACAATAGGGTAGGCTGCATTCAGACAGCTCTTTATTCCATTTTCCTGACGTTTGATTACCTGATAACTTTCACATTTTATGCTATCGTTCACACAATTTCACTTCTGGAAATCTAGCAGAACTGAGTAGAATTTTAGCACCCATTTCCATGTCAATTGCTGGCTAATCTGTGGCTCTCCTGATGTGGGACTATAACTCCCATCATCTCTGACCAGTGGCCACTCTGGCTGGAGCTGAGTGGAATAGGAGTCCAACCAGATCTGGAGAGCAACACATTGGCGACCGCTGAATTTTCCTAGCCTGCCCATAGCAAAGAAGATATACAAATTAGCAAATGTTTGGAACAAGTCAATGTTTCAAATGCGGATACTTTGATTTTTGCATAGCAAGCAAGAACTAACAATATGGTGGGACTAGGAAGGCCTGGGTTCAGATCACCACTCAACCATGAAACTCCCCGGGTGGAGAATCCGCAATCTGGGTGAAGAAGTAGTGGAAGAGGAATGGAAAAAATTCAAGGACTACCTACAAAAAAATTGTAAACTGTATGAATGTTAAGAGGATGAAAGAGTTAAATTAAGGGTGGCATCAGTAAATTAGTTAAAAAGAATGCGAGAGTATGGTGAAATTTAACTTAAAATTAATTATTGAATAATATTATGTTTAAACTAAGGTTTTAAGTTTTTTGGGAGGCTAATCTAAAATGGGAAACATAATAATTGGAAAATACAAATAAGTATCTGAAACAAGGTGATAAATTGCTGTCTAGAATTTCTCAAATGTGGAAAGCTGGAACAGAAGATGAGAGGAAGTCTGAATAATTATGAAAGTAAGATTTTGACTATGATGTTATATTTTTTATTTTTCTTGTATGTTTTTTTTCTTTTCTGTTGTGTGATTATGTTTATTCTTTTCTGTTCTTTTCTTTACGTATGTTGAAAATCTTGAATAAAAATCTTTATTAAAAAAACACACACACACAAAAAAACCTCCCCGGGTGATGTACATTGGGCTACACACTATCTCTCAGTCTAATCTGCTTTGCAGGCTTGTTAGAATAAAAGAGTGGTCTTGCCTTGCCTGCCTCCATAGAGGTATTTGCTCAAATCCAAACGCAACACGTGGCTAATATGTTAGGAGTCATTTTGCAAAGAAACAGAAAAGATGCTTGTAACTTTAAGAACTGTTTCTTTCAGTTCACGGTGTGGTTTTCTGATCTGATAGGGTACAGCTGGTTATGAGTATAAAGGGAGATGGATTGTGATTTGTTTTTGCCTGCAAAGAGGACACTCACACACTTTGTGTTTATGCTTGTAAGCCTGTAAATAAAACTCTGAGTATTTTTACACCTCATGGTCTCTGTCATCTGCTGCCGGGAGATACAGCTCCAACATAATAATGTATTATTATTAGATCTATCATACTACAAAATATACAAATCATAAGCATCCACATATAATTTATGCATAGTTATGCAAAAGTTCTTAAACAAGAAATAATAAACGTAATAAATTGCTGTCAGGGAACACCGGGACGAAGGCAGGATTCCTTTCAATAGCAATATTGTAGTGGTAGGTGCTCCAGTGTAGGGAAAATATATTCAAATCGCTTTGGAATGCAGAAATAAACAGCAAACAATACAGGAACAGAACAGTGTTTCAAGGATAAGTCAACTGTTTAAAGTCAGTATTTCCATAGGGGAGCGGGAGAATAAATGGAATGAGTCATAATATGTAAGGTGTGTGACAAACCGGTAGAAATGCATCACGTTTGCCATCAGATTTGTTGTCTGTATCCAACGATTGTTCCAGAAAGTCCTTGAACCCCAGGTAGATATTGCACAATACAATTAAGAGGGGCATCTCCACCCATTTGCCTTACAGGTATTTACACAGCACAGCAATCCTTTCCCTGCAGTTCATTGGAGTAAGTCATTCAATGTTGACATAGGAGCCCCATCCATAAAATGCCCTGTGCACATAAATCTGGGCGCAAGAAACACTCAAGCTCAGCATTGTTCCTGGCCCTACCTTACGACAGCATGGTGCCTCTCCTTGTGCTCTGCCTTCTTTCGCCACTCTTAGTTGCCTCTGCAGATCCACGTAAGTTATTTATCATTGATCACATCCATTTTCCTACTATGCTGTTAGGGACAGAATGAAAGACCAGTACTTTGGAATGACACATCTGTTGGAAAAACACTCGGGAAGGCCACCACCTTCCCAAGACACCGAGGCGTCTCTCCGGTGGTCACTCTCTGGCTGGAAATGTTCCTCAGTCCAGAGAGACTGGTGATAAGTGACCCCTCCCTCCTGAGAGGAGCACGTTGTCCTCTGGCATCTCATAGCAGAAGAAAGAGTCAATTAGTAGCTCTAAAACTACTTTATTTACAGTCTATATACAAAGAATCCATCAGCATGTCTGTGCTCTCTCAGCACCAGTACAGAACAGCATCTCACACAGAAGTGAAACTAACTTCCAACAGAACTCCAACAGTACTGAGACTTCCTGTCTCACACTCTCAAACACTCACATGTTATAAACAGCATAGTGCTACTTGCTGAGCAGCACGGGTAGATAAAATCCTAACAATATCAACTGTGCCATCATTTGATGCTAATCTAGGAGGGTTAAAAACTTTGCACAGAATGTTCTTGCCATCTTTTAGCAAAAGGAAGAGCTGAGGTGCACACAAGAGCTAGTGTTTTTTCTCCATTTAGATTTCCACGCTAGCTTTTGAGTGGATGCCTTTGGTGATGGGGAACCATAGAATCATAGACTGGTAGTAATCTGCTGTAAGTTCTAAAGGTGTTGGCTGAGATATACAGTATTCAGCTAAGTGCTACTCAAGAGTATATATTGCAAATGGATGAGCCTAAGTCATGTCCGCTAACTTCCAAAGGTCTACTCTTAGTAGGTAAAAAGGGTAATGGAAAATGCCACTGTCTCCGCTTCTCCCCTGCTCAGCTGCCTTGGCTGCGGGTGGAGAAGCATTGCTAGCACTGACGCCTAATTCAGGTATGATATTGCTGAAATGGCTAAAGTTATTGCATGCTTGCAAGATCATTCGTGGTGGAGGAGGCAGAGCAGGTGAGGCACCTGTGAAGCTGCCGCCTTTGGAACTTCTGCTGCCTGAAGTAGCCATCTCAGTTTGCTTAATGGCAGAGCCAGTTCCATGCTGGTGCGCTGGTGGGGTTGGAGTTGAAAAGCCACCAGTTCAGCACCCAGTTAACACAATTAGCAATTTGTTTAGGCCTGATGAAAGAAGTGCTTCCTCTTCCACAACAACCCATAAGCACCTTCTGAAATTCACTGCTACAAGGCTTGGTGGTAATACTGCCTTAGAAGGAATGAAAGTAGAATTAGATTGATCCCTGGAGGAGAGGCTCCTCAGTGGCTTTGAGCCATGTGAGCTAAAATTTAGATGCTAAATGTAACCTCCTAGTTTCAGAGGCACCATACCTCTGAAGGCCAAGTGGGCAAGGCAAACATCTAGGAGAAGGGTGATGTCTTCCTGCCCTGTGTATGACCTTCCTGGACCAGGGCATCCACTGGACAGTGAGCCGCATATTCCCAGCTTTGCTTGAAAAGGAAAAGGAAAAAGAGTATGTGTCTAGTGTAGGGTTGCCATATTTCAAAAAGGGAAAATCTTGACAAAAAAGTTGTTGAGCTTTTATTGGAAATTCATAAAATCGAGACTTCTGACATCGGTGTCATATGTCCAGATTTTCCTGGACATTTTAGCGATTTCCGCCCAGACACTGCTTCCGACTGCAGTATTCTGGCTATGTCTGTGAAATTCTAGACATATGGAAAACTTAGGCTAGCATTTCAACAACGAAGAATATTAGGGAAGAAGTTCTCTCTCTCTCTCTCTCTCTCTCTCTCTCTCTCTCTCTCTCTCTCTCTCTCTCAGAAACTGTCATGTTCCCCAGCTTTCAGTGTCTCCCCCCCCCCTTACCTAACCATGAATAATTCTTTTGGGCACCCATGTTTCTGAAGGCATGTAGTAGATAACTGGAAGGTGAAAACTGGGCAAGATGGCACTTTGGCTGGAAAAGCACCTTACTTTTTAGAAACGCTTCTATTAAAATTTGTTAATTATGACAACGGCACACATGTAACGCACCTTGCTTCCGCCAAAGAATAACAGGAGCTGTAGTTTGTCAAGGGTGCTGAGTACAGTTGGACTATGAAGGGTGAGCTACAGTTCTCAGGATTTTGGGTGGAGGCTACGTGCTTTAAGTACACTTTAAATGCATGGTGTGTACGAAGCCAAGGTCAGAACCAGGAGGACACATTTCACATTGTGCTGTGTACTCTTGGGAATATGCTACCCACAGCCAGCACTGAATGGGACATAGGCTTTCCCCATTTTGTTCAATGCCTGAGGGTGCTTCAGTCCCATAGTTGTATGATGTCCTTCTCTCATCTTCCAGCAGCCTTGAAGTGTATACAAGGCTATGATGCTACCCAAGCTCCGACAGAATGTTCCAGTGGTTTCGGCACCTGTGTGACCATCAAGGATGAGTACACACTGACTGGTAAGGAAGCTTTGGAAGAAGGAGACAACTGTTTGGCATCATGTGGCTCCTCTTGGAGGCGTTGAGAATGATCAGGAATCAGATGACAATTGAAAGGGTTGATAGCTTGCCCAGTGGTGTGCCGTGGGTTGCTGGCACCCGGGGCAGGCAAGCAGCCGATGTATCATTGGAGCCAAATGGGGCCGTGCAACACCACTTGCCTGCCCACACAACTCAGCTCTTGGTGGGCGACTCCCTCGATGCTTGTGAAGAAGAGTGCCGTGCCGTACTGTGCTAGCCTCCCTCCACCCACACCCAGTCCCTGAGGACCGGGCTGCTTTGCTGTCTTCACTTAGGCAAGGTGGGGATCCCTGAGGAAGCCGGAGCCTGTTTGCGGAATTTTGCACCTGGGGCCACTGCCTCTCTGGTCCCCCCACGCTATGCCACTGGTCTTGCCTCTGTTACAGGTGCTATTTAGGGAGCCTGTAGCACCCCCTCCTGTGTTTCTGACCTCTGGGCAGTTATGTCTAAGGTGGTTTTTGGTTCAACCTGCTGGATGGTAATGATGGCACATGGCTGTGTATGCCAATGGCACAAATCCCTTTACTTAAAAATACACTACAACACACCTAGCAAAGTTGCAAACAGGAAGCCTTTTCCCCAGCTCTACCTATGATTATGCTGTGTTCTGGTCTGATCTACAGGCTCTTGTACTCTGGGAGGCCATATTCCCTTGGGAGAACTTGGAACCAAGGTGGAAGGACAAGGCAGAGCGGAGACAATAGAGTTAGGCAGAGAATGAAGAATTCTGGGGGATGGGGTCTCTTGACCTGCTGTTTGTCTTTTTTTATCTTCCGGTAAACAGACCCAAAGTTTAATGCAACATTCTATACATGTGGGAGAATTTTGTCTTGTGCCCATGCTTTTACCATCACCATAGGAGATGGGAAACATTTGCGCCACACCTCGGCTTGCTGTACCACAGATGGCTGCAATGCAAACTTAAAATGGGGAGGTAAGTCATCATCTGCCTCCTCTCTGACAACAGAATTACAAATCTGGGTCCCTCCAGGTGTCATTTTCCTTGTGCACCCAGGTTGATTTCTGCTCATGATGCTATTGGGGCGGTTTCAATCATGTTTGCGTGTGCAAAGATTGTGGGCTAGTCACATGGCTTTATTTCCAATCAGTGCGCATCCCATTACTTCCCGTGGAACCCCCTTAACTTTTCATTCTACAAATATATTGGTTTATGTTTTCCCCACTTTTGTTGCTCTATAGCCAGCCCCTCCAGCCAGTGATAATGATGTGTGAGAACTTGGGAAGCATCACTGAACAAATGAAAGCAGGATAAATCCGCCACAAATGCAGTGTTATTGTTTCAGGAACACGTTGCAAAAAAGAAATTAGAAATTGTCATAATGAAAGGGAAAAAAACTCTATGTAAAATTGTGTAGAAAAGTTTTCTGCTCTATGGTGCCACCTGGTGTCACAGCATTATAACAAATGTAAAATGTTCTTTCTTTACTAATGTAACTGAGTCCACACACAATTTGCATTTGAAATTGGTAGGAACAGCACGGAGTGTATGAAGTTTTAGTCCTGTTCTCTTCCTAATGTAAGGCAGGGATGGAAGTTGTGTCTGGACCTCATTCTTTCCGGCAAAGAAAATGTTAAAAGAAAACAACATCAAAATAAAGTGCTTCTGGGGGAACAGGCTCAGTGGGTGCCTGCATGTCGCCAAACACCACTGCCCCCTCAGCCAAACACCACATTGGGAATGCCGTCCATAACAAGCAGGTGTTATTAGACAGGTGTGGGGAACCAGTGGCACTCCAGGTGTTGCTTAACTGTACCATCCTTCAGCCCCAACAAGCATGGCCAGCGGGGAAGGATGTTGCGAGTTGGTAGTTTACCACCATCTGGAGGGCCAAAGTTTTCACACACCTGGCATGAGAAAAAGAAATTCTGAGTGTGGGACAGGATGGGGGGCGCACGCGAAGCCGACCTCCTAACACTGGCGTTGCTGGGCCCTGCCTGGAAGAGATGAAGGTGGGTTTAGAAAGATGTGGGTCTACTGGTGAGCCAGTCCAGAGCTTCCACTGTTGCATTCACACAACTCCAACCTCCTGCATCCTTTTCCTGCTCCATCATGTGCAAGTACTCCATGTACTGCTGTTTCCCATCTCACTTCTAGCACACACCAGTAGCAGCCACTGTGATGTGATGGATCAGGCAGGGCAGTTGCATGGGTGCTTGGTGGACCTCCAATGCCAGCTTTAGGAGGGTTGCTTCACCCCAACACACTGGCTGCTACCTGTGCGTGTGTGAATCAGGCCTGTCAAAGTACCTTCAGGCCTCTTCTTAGCTTCCTATTTAGAAATCCGCAAACCCCGTGCTTCTTTCTTCTTTGCTTCCTAGTTCCTCCAGCTTCTTCGAGAAAGAATGGGCTCATTTGCCCAATTGGATGTTTTGCTGACACAGAGGAAACCTGCATAGGCGGAAAAGTCTCATGCACAGATGCAGAAAATACTTGCATCAATGTAACAGGGACCTATGGCCCTAAGGAAGGTACTTAGCAGGGGAGGAAGAGGGACTGCATGGGGTAGAGGGAACAGGTGGGAGGAGAATGCTGCCTCTGGAGCTTCCAGAGATGGACCAACCATGAGCCAAGATGGACACCTCAGGTGGCAGAGCGAGCGACTTGCTGCCCTGAACCTCAAGTAACAGTCTTCCAGGGTGTTCTCTGATGCAAGCATCATTGAAATGAACGAGTGCTGTGCCTGAGCATTCAGGGAATGTATCCATGATAAGGTGCTAATGGATTGTGTGAATTGTCCTTTGGTGCACTAAAATGTTTTGGGTGAGGGATTGAATCTGGGCTCCTTCACACAAGTCATTTTCAAATGAGTAGAACCTTGAGATGAGATTATCAAGCTAAATGTTGGAACGTTCAGATTGGCCAAATAAGGAAGTCTTGTATGAGTCAGAATTAGGTACATGTAAAGGAATAGAAGGCACATTTCATCATATGTGATGGACTTGTAGAGCAGCTAAAGGATTTTGGGAGATGATACGCAATGAGATTGAAAAAAAAATATTAAGAGGACTCTCCCAAAAAGACCAGAAGCTTTTCTTCTAGTGATAATTGGACCAGGTGTACCAAAGAATCAAAGACAAGACAGCTTTCAAGGAGGATCGGAAAATGTTTATAGATTATTTTAAAAATATTGTAAACATGTTAAAATGCTAGCAGGTTTGGAGTAAGCTAACCAGTAAAAGTTTTTTTGAGAATAAGGTGGAGGAAAAAAGGTATAGAGTAATTATAATATGCAGCAGCAAAAGATAATTTGAGAAAACCAAGGAAGGGTAGAAAGGAAGTCGATTACCAAGGGAATGCATACTGGAAAATTTTTGACAAGTTGTATTTTATTTTTTGAAATTTATAAATAAAATTTATAAACAAACAAACAAATAAGCATTCTTCGCCTAGGGCATAGTTAAAGGATGGGATTTGGTCTTATAAGATGTAGTGATGATGGCCATAATGTTGGGTGACTTTCAAAAAGTATTGAGCAGATTCACAGAGGATAAAACTGTCAATGACTATTAACTATGTCTACTTGCAGATTCCAAGTCTTTTGTCGTGAAGGGTTGTGGAACAAGCAACGTGGGTGAACTCTATAGCCTAATCGGGTTCATTAACGGAACCTGCTACAAAATGCGAACCGCAATATGGAAGCCTGCTAAATCCTCCAGCACCAACCATATTCTGGGCAAGAGATCCTTTCTCCTCCTGCTACCCAGTATCTCCAGCATTCTCTTCATGAAGTTTCTCTCCTGAGTTTTGTTCCCATGCCAGGCAATTTGTAGGATCCATGCTGTGAACTTTTGGGCACCGGAATGGACAAATCTGTCAAGATCAGGGCTCTTAAGTTTCTCATTTTAAAAAAAATCTTAAATTCAATTCTCCACAATACTAGAGCAATCTGCATTTTTTAAATAAAAAAAACCTGTTGAAAATCCATCCACATTTTAGCATGAATTTCTCCTAATAAACACAATTTGTAATTGCAGTTTGACTAGTGTAGAGTTTTGCTAGGATCCCCCCCCCAAAAAATGCATTTGTACATATGTTATTATCACTGAAATATGCACTTTTGGCACTTCCCCTACATAAATGCATTTTTGTATACACTGTTTGGTTTATGAACTACATTGCAAAATTCTGAGAAACGGGATATTTGAAAGCTGACTTTAAGTTTACATATTGATCTGGGAAGTGCAAACGAGTGGCTCTCCTGATGTGGGACTATAACTCCCATCATCTCTGAACACAAGTGAACAACACAAACAACGCTGACACCAAACTCTACACACATTAAACATAATAGAAACACCGCCACCCGACCCCACCCCCATCCACCTTCCCTCTCTCCACCCCCCCTTTTCTTCTCTCTTTCTTTTTTCTTCTCCCCCTAATGCCTCAACAAATGAAATGGATTTGTAAAAATGTTACATGAAAACAAAAACAAAAACGAGGCACTACACTTCTGTAAAACAAGAAAATCCTTAATAAAATATTTTTTAAAAAAACAAAAAACTCCCATCATCTCTGACCAGTGGCCACTCTGGCTGGACCTGATGGGAATTGGAGTCCAACCAGATCTGGAGAGCAACACATTGGCGACCGCTGAGTTTTCCTAGCCTGCCCATAGTAAAGAAGATAGATATACAAATTAGCAAATGTTTGGAACAAGTCAATGTTTCAAATGTGGATACTTTGATTTTTGCATAGCAAGCAAGAACTATCAATATGGTAGGAGTAGGAAGGCCTGGGTTCAGATCGCCACTCAACCATGAAACTCCCAGGGTGATGTACCTTGGGCTATACACTACCTCTCAGCCTAACTTAACTTGCAGGCTTGTTAGAATAAAAAAGCAGTTTTGCCATGCCTGCCTCCATAGAGGTATCTGCTCAAATCCAAACGCAACACGTGGCTAATATGTTAGGACTTATTTTGCAAAGAAACAGAAAAAGATGCTTGTAACTTTTGGAACTGTTTCTTTCATTCAGGGTGTGGTTTTCTGATCTGATAGGGTACAGCTGGTTATGAGTATAAAGGGAGATGGATTGTGATTTGTTTTTGCCTGCAAAGAGGACACTCACACACTTTGTGTTTATGCTTGTAAGCCTGTAAATAAAACTCTGAGTATTTTTACACCTCATGGTCTCTGTCATCTGCTGCCGGGAGATACAGCTCCAACATAATAATGTATTATTATTAGATCTATCATACTACAAAATATACAAATCATAAGCATCCACATATAATTTATGCATAGTTATGCAAAAGTTCTTAAACAAGAAATAATAAATGTAATAAATTGCTGTCAGGGAACACCAGGACGAAGGCAGGATTCCTTTCAATAGCAATATTGTAGTGGTAGGTGCTCCAGCATAGGGAAAATATATTCAAATCGCTTTGGAATGCAGAAATAAACAGCAAACAATACAGGAACAGAACAGTGTTTCAAGGATAAGTCAACTGTTTAAAGTCAGTGTTTCCACAGAGGAGCGGGAGAATAAATGGAATGAGTCATAATATGTAAGGTGTGCGACAAACCGGTAGAAATGCATCACGTTTGCCATCAGATTTGTTGTCTGTATCCAATGATTGTTCCAGAAAGTCCTTGAACCCCAGGTAGATATTGCACAATACAATAAGAGGGGCATCTCCACCCATTTGCTTTACAGGTATTTACACAGCACATCAATCCTTTCCCTGCAGTTCATTGGAGTAAGTCATTCAATGTTGACATAGGAGCCCCATCCATAAAATGCCCTGTGCACATAAATCTGGGCACAAGAAGCACTCAAGCGCAGCATTGTTCCTGGCCCTACCTTACGACAGCATGGTGCCTCTCCTTGTGCTCTGCCTTCTTTCGCCACTCTTAGTTGCCTCTGCAGATCCACGTAAGTTATTTATCATTGATCACATCCATTTTCCTACTATGCTGTTAGGGACAGAATGAAAGACCAGTACTTTGGAATGACACATCTGTTGGAAAAACACTCGGGAAGGCCACCACCTTCCCAAGACACCGGGGCGTCTCTCTGGTGGTCACTCTCTGGCTGTAAATCTTCCTCAGTCGAGAGAGACTGGTGATAAGTGACCCCTCCCTCCTGAGAGGAGCACGCTTGTCCTCTGGCATCTCATAGCAGAATAAAGAGTCAATTAAAAGGTAAAGGTAAAGGTACCCCTGCCCATTCGGGCCAGTCTTGCCAGACTCTCGGGTTGTGTGCTCATCTTACTCTATAGGCCGGGAGCCAGCGCTGTCCGCAGACTCTTCCGGGTCACGTTGCCAGCGTGACAAGCTGCATCTGGAGAGCCAGCACAGCGCACGGAACGCCGTTTACCTTCCCGCTGGTAAGCGGTCCCTATTTATCTGCTTGCACCCGGGGGTGCTTTTGAACTGCTAGGTTGGCAGGCGCTGGACCGAACGACGGGAGCGCACCCCGCCGCGAGGATTCGAACCGCCGACCATACGATCGGCAAGCCCTAGGCGCTGAGGTTTTACCCACAGCGCCACCCGCGTCCCTCAAAAAAGAGTCAATTAAGAGCTCTAAAACTAAGAGTCAATTAGTAGCTCTAAAACTACTTTATTTACAGTCTATATACAAAGAATCTATCAGCATGTCTGTGCTCTCTCAGCACCAGTACAGAACAGCATCTCACACAGAAGTGAAACTAACTTCCAACAGAACTCCAACAGTACTGAGACTTCCTGTCTCACACTCTCAGACATTCACATGATATAAACAGCCTAGCGCTACTTGCTGAGCAGCACGGGTAGATAAAATCCTAACAATAGCAACTGTGCCATCATCTGATGCTAATCTAGGGGGGTTAAAAACTTTGCACAGAATGTTCTTGCCATCTTTTAGTAAAAGGAAGAGCTGAGGTGCACACAAGAGCTAGTGTTTTTTCTCCATTTAGATTTCCACGCTAGCTTTTGAGTGGATGCCTTTGGTGATGGGGAATCATAGAATCATAGACTGGTAGTAATCTGCTGTAAGTTCTAAAGGTCTTGGCTGAAATATACAGTATTCAGCTAAGTGCTACTCAAGAGTATATATTGCAAATGGATGAGCCTAAGTCATGTCAGCTAACTTCCAAAGGTCTACTCTTAGTAGGTAAAAAGGGTAATGGAAAATGCCACTGTCTCCGCTTCTCCCCTGCTCAGCTGCCTTGGCTGCGGGTGGAGAAGCATTGCTAGCACTGACGCCTAATTCAGGTATGATATTGCTGAAATGGCTAAAGTTATTGCATGCTTGCAAGATCATTCGTGGTGGAGGAGGCAGGGCAGGTGAGGCACCTGTGAAGCTGCTGCCTTTGGAACTTCTGCTGCCTGAAGCAGCCATCTCAGTTTGCTTAATGGCAGAGCCAGTTCCATGCTGGTGCGCTGGTGGGGTTGGAGTTGAAAAGCCACCAGTTCAGCACCCAGTTAACACAATTAGCAATTTGTTTAGGCCTGATGAAAGAAGTGCTTCCTCTTGCACAACAACCCATAAAGCACATTCTGAAATTCACTGCTACAAGGCTTGGTGGTAATACTGCCTTAGAAGAAATGTAAGTAGAATTAGATTGATCCCTGGAGGAGAGGCTCCTCAGTGGCTTTGAGCCATGTGAGCTAAAATTTAGATGCTAAATGTAACCTCCTAGTTTCAGAGGCACCATACCTCTGAAGGCCAAGTGGGCAAGGCAAACATCTAGGAGAAGGGTGATGTCTTCCTGCCCTGTGTATGACCTTCCTGGACCAGGGCATCCACTGGACAGTGAGCCGCATATTCCCAGCTTTGCTTGAAAAGGAAAAGGAAAAAGAGTATGTGTCTAGCATAGGGTTGCCATATTTCAAAAAGTGAAAATCTGGAGAAAAAAAGTTGTTGAGCTTTTATTGGAAATTCACAGAATCCAGACTTCTGACATGTCATATGGTGTCATATGTCCAGATTTTCCTGGACATTTTAGCGATTTCCGCCCAGACACTGCTTCCGACTGCAGTATTCTGGCTATGTCTGTGAAATTCTGGACATATTCCAAAGTTAGGGTAGTATTTCGACAACCAAGAATATTAGGGAAGAAGTACAGTCTCTCTCTCTCTCTCTCTCTCTCTCTCTCTCTCTCTCTCTCTCTCTCAGAAATGCCGTGCTCCCCAGCTTTCAGTCTCCCCCCCTTACCTAACCATGAATAATTATCTTGGGCACCCATGTTTCTGAAGGCATGTAGTAGATCACTGGAAGGTGAAAACTGGGCAAGATGGCACTTTGGCTGGAAAAGCACCTTACTTTTTAGAAACACTTCTATTAAAATTTGTTAATTATAACAACGGCACACATGTAACGCACCTTGCTTCCGCCAAAGAATAACAGGAGCTGTAGTTTGTCAAGGGTGCTGAGTACAGTTGTACTATGAGGGGTGAGCTACAGTTCTCAGGATTTTGGGTGGAGGCTACGTGCTTTAAGTACACTTTAAATGCATGGTGTGTACGAAGCCAAGGTCAGAACCAGGAGGACACATTTCACATTGTGCTGTGTACTCTTGGGAATATGCTGCCCACAGCCAGCATTACGCACTGAATGGGACATCCTGTTTCTATGGCTTTTCCCCATTTTGTTCAATGCCTGAGGGTGCTTCAGTCCCACAGTTGTATGATGTCCTTCTCTCGTCTTCCAGCAGCCTTGAAGTGTATACAAGGCTATGATGCTACCCAAGCTCCGACAGAATGTTCCAGTGATTTCGACACCTGTGTGACCATCAAGGATGAGTACACACTGACAGGTAAGGAAGCGTTGGAAGAAGCAGAGAGTCATGGAAACCTGACAAGTATCTGGCATCATGTGGTTCCTCTTGGAGGCTTTGAGAATGATCAGGAGTCAGCATGACAATTGACAGAGTCA